TAGTTTCTCAGATGAGTTAACTGTGCAGCTGGGCTGAGAACGCTGGTGTGCAAAGAGTGTGTGCTTTCCAGAGGACACACCTGGCTTTTGTCTCAGTGGGCAGAGGCACACTGGACTTCTGAACTGGGATAATAGAAACTCAAGTTGTGGTCACAAGTAAGGGGGTGACAACATTTACAGTATAACAAATGCTCCACATCTTCCTATGCCCAAGTTTCAGGCTTTCCCTCCCTTATCTACTTTTGGTAGCTTCATGTCATTGCTGTGAGGTTGTCTTTTTCAACACCCATACAATAGACTCCAAACCTGGAAAGAACAAGTACTACTTTTTTTTTTTTTAAGGGATAATTACCCTTCATTTAGGCAAAAGAAATTCCAGGGCTTTTAGAAGAGTCTTCCTGAAAACTAGCAGTGAGCAAACACATGCCTGGCTGGGGCTGTCTCCATGACCCTTCCCTCACCCCAATCTCTTTCAAACGAGAGGTGGATGGTTGATGTAGGGCCTCCACACTCAGTAGTCTGGACCACACAGTCCAGCTGAAGGTGACTTGAACGGCTTAGGTGCCATTCTTCTGCTCATTTATCTCTGTAATTTGTTTTCTTCTGAAGGGACCCTTGCAGATGGGGGAGAGGGGGCGTGCTTTGGCTGTGTGGATCTAGGCAGTAATAAGTGGCTTTGGAAAGGATAGTGCTGTGTGTGTCTGTTGGCCCTTGTGAACACCTGGCCTGTGGCCAGGGCATAGCCAACCCTCTCTGCTCGTCCTCACCACCATTTTATCAGACAGAAATCAGTAGCCAGCACATATTGTCATACAGTGAAGTGCTCATATAAATAAATGCAAATGTTCAATAATTTCCCTGTCCCCCTACACGCCCCCAATGCTAAAAAATGTGTAAAATGTTTCCCAGAAACAGGGCTGTTGGGTCTTTGGATGCTGCCTAAGAAATCCATTATGAACGTCTCATTAGATGAGGGTTTCTCCACGGGGCCTGATCTTGCCTCCTAGAGGACACTTGGCAACACCTTGGAGATATTTTAAATGGCTACCGCTGTCTTACGAGTAGAAACTAGGAATGCTGCCAAATATCCCCAGATGCGCAGAACAGCCACTGGAACTAACAAGCCACACACTCTCAAGTCAGCAGAGCTGAGCTTGGGTACACTGAGAGCTGGCACGGCTAGGAATCTTAGAGCCACTGCCCAGACAGACCCGGCTCTTACCCTGCAGAAACAGCTGGCTCAGCTTGGCGACAGCCCTGGCTACACTGGGCACACTGGGCAGGGGGATGATGAGCCGATGACAGCTGTGCTTAGAATGATGTTTCCTTAACATGCCCTGCATGTGGAGTCCAGAGCTGGGCACCTCAGAGTGTTGTCTCACTAGATACTCGACTCAGTCTTCTTGGGTGATGGAGATAAAGGAATGGTACCTCACACAAGAAATGGTCCTGCTTAGGGCCACACAGCCCTAAGCACAGGAGTCCTTGTTTGTACTTCTGAAGGAGTCCAGATCACCTGTTCTAAGGGAACTCAGGAAGAGGTATCAACAGAGCATCACTTCCCAAAGTTGTCTTTTCCGCATCCTCCTTCAGGAAATCTGTTGTGGGAATAAGGCCCCACCCTTGTAACTATATAAGCCTTACCTCATTCAGGTTTTGTAGAAGGTGAACACGCCAGCACTTTCTCAGGAGCATCTGTGTGATCTCACTTCACACAGGGGCTGATAGGCTCATCGGGGTTTCTGAGACCCTAAGCACACTGAGGAAAACGGGTGGCAAAGCTTTGGCTTACCAAGATGTCCCAATCTTCAGTTTGATGTCCCTTCTTGATAGTGATGTGATAATGAGGGAAACACTGACCTCTTTTGTCTTCTATGGGAAGACAGAAACATGAGAAGACAGCTAAGGACACAGTAGGGGAGAAGACACAAGAAGTACCCCACATAGGGACCTCAGGGACAGAAGATAAGGCCAGAGACATGAAATCTCGCAGCCCTGGAACCAGTTCTCTGCCAGTTTTGCCCTTGTCTATCTGCTCCCTCCAGGACTGGTGCTGTGTCCTTACTCTGAGCACTGGGCTGGCAGCTGCCTCCTTCCTACAGCTTTTGTTCTTTTTGAAACTTTTGAATAGGTCGCATGTTTAATTGAGAACCTGGGAACCCTGGGGAACAACAGAGTGGGTCAGCAAACCTCCCCCAGAGCCCTCTAAGTTTTGTTTACACAGAAGTTCCTGTATGAACTCTGAAAAATCGTACTGTAATCTCTAACAGAGCAAGGGAGGGGAGGGGAGGGGAGG